CCCACAGAGGGGTCCCGACTCCAGCTTTGGGAACCACTGGTATCTAAAGTTTAAGGTTGGCTTTAAGGTGATTTTTAGTCTTTAAATATTAGTTTATAATTCAGAAACATCACAATCTATAAAATGTAGAAAAAAAAACAGATTTTTAACAATGCAGCACTACTGCTTGGACCTCTGACAGTTTAGGCTGAATATTTCATTTCTAAATATTTATAAAGTTAATTAGATTTCTGTAAACCTTAAAGACTCCACACTTCATTAAAGCTCGTTGATTCATTTCTTACTGAAGCCATGAAAAGATAAAAACTGGTTCTTCACTGGACTGAGAGGAACCCTGTGGTGAAGAAGCTCCTCACAGAAAGGCTGCAGAGCCGAGCTAACACTGAGCTGCTTCTGGTTTACATCAGCAGGTGTGGAGGACAGAAACCAACCGCTCGTCTGTGTGTGTCCTTTATTACAACAACAACAACAACAACAACAACAACAACTCACTGTTGGCGCAGGTGGAACCCTCCCAGCCCGGTGGACACCGACACTCGTACCCAGAAGGAACCTCGTGGCACGTTCCTCCGTTGGCGCAGGGATCGGAGACGCAGGCGTGCTCAGCTGAAGGCCACAGGACCAAACGTGCATCGTTACAAACTGAATAAAAAGTTCAGACTCAAAGATGTGAAAAAGGGTCGAAGTGACAGAAAAACCAAACACACCTATCTCACAGTTTATTCCAGAGTAGCCCTGTGGACAGGAGCAGTGGTATTTGTCCGGCTCAGTGTTCATGCAGGTTCCTCCATTGATGCAGGGCTGGTGGTGGCCGCAGTAATTTAGATCTGATGGACAAACAGACTCCTAATTAATTAATTAATTAATTAATAAGCTGAGGGCAGCTCCAGTAAGAAAAACATGGCAGAAAAAGCTGAATGTGTCAGAAAATAAACGTGTCTGACATGGTAAAGTCCCAGCTGAGCGTTCTGATGTAGAACCTGCTGAGGACCGTTCGGAGCAGAGACATGATGTCAGTAATGGTTGCAGGCAGCAGCTGCAGAGCTCAGTCCTGCAGCTTTTAGTGCTTCTCCTCCTCTTCAGCAGGTCTCTCAGTTCTCCACAGGCCTGTAAATCAGTCATTCACAGAAGTCAGGTGTGTCACGGCACAGAAACATGTGAAGCACGCAGGGTTGGGCCTCCACCACCGTACACTCAGTCCTCCTCAGGATGAACCCTGGGGGTCTTGTTTTCTGGTGCACCTCCTTCAGCAGCTCTTTCCTCAGATTTAAACCAGTTTAAAGCCACCAGGTTAGATCCAGGCAGGGAAARGATGCTTCGGTGAAACAGAGAACGTCTTTCTCAGGATGTTCAACAGCTCCGGTTCTTCATTCGTTTTTTCTACTTTGATTTCTTTTCTTCCTGGGATTTCCCAGAACTGTGTCAGTCTTGGCTCTGCTGGACCACCAGCTGTCTGCGTTGGCAGGAAGTGTTTTCTCCAGCACTCTGGTGACAAACTGACTGTATTTTCAGGAAGTGACCAGGTGGTCTGGTCTCTCATGTATGGAGACAGTTTAGTTAAAGCTGACTGGTTGTTCCTGCTCAACACGCTGCGACTGAAACAAACCAAACTCCAGATGAAGAAGAAGTGGACCAAAATGAATAAATGAGCAGGAACCTGTCTCCACTGGAGACCCGAGGACCTCTCTCATCCCCCACAGAGCCCCGCTAACGAAGGGATGCCGGGGGGGATCGCATGTCCCTGAAGCTGCTCGGATCACTCGGCCCGTAAAACTATCCACCTTCTGATCAAAGAGTCAGAGGAGATTCAGGCCCTCCATTAAAACAGTTCATTTAATTAAAGTGCACTGTTAATTATCTGCTCTTTTTACAGTTTTACAACTAAATTAGAAAAACTAAAAGAACAGTTTGTTTATTTGGACGCTACGTGTTGGTGCAGATCTGAGACTTCCTGCTGTCAGAGGAGTCGAGGCGTCTCAGAGCTGATGGACAGAAATACTTTAATATTCAAGTAAAACTAAACATCTGCATCAGGTCAGAGTTCACAGCTGCTGAACACATCTGTAGGAATGCTTCAGTTTTTAATTAGAATACAAACTCTTCTGTCATTTCTGGTTAAATTAAAACAATCATGTATTTAAGTTTGGATTCAGATGCTGAAACACTGATGTTTGACCAGAACAGATACGTTAGATTTTATTAGAGATATTTCTTATTAAAATTTCAAACCAGACTGTCTGGTTTCTTTTATTCTGTATATAAAACTTATAGGTCTGTCATTCCAAGGTAGCTGTGAATTAATCACGATTAATCTTAAACTTAATATAAAACTTTATTGCATGTTGGTAAAATAAAATAAATTACTTGAGTTATTAATTTATGTTTTTATTTAGATAAAAATTGGTGCTTAGCCACGATTTTTTGAATATAAAACAGGACGTAAACAATGCTCCAAAACATATTTCAGTCAGTGAAATGTTGTGCAG